AAATTACGCATGCAGGAGTTGCAAAAGATATGATGACCAAACAAAATATCTAGCGGTTATGTATTCAAATGAATATATCTAACAGTGAAAGATGAACGGCTGACGTGTCTGATCTAGACAAAGACCAAGAATAGATTGTGAGGTGTAATATTAGCATTCCTTGTGATGTTGATTCATGTAACACTACTAGCTAAAATAACGTTGATTTCTTTCCATAAACACCTGTAAAGTAAACTTGTTCAGGTTAACAGAAAAACTTGGGAACAACGAAAAACGTGCTCCCATCCTTGACATGCATAAAAGCTAGTATGTGGTATGTTCATGCTTAACTGGCTCCCAAGGTATACAACAGAACACACCCGGCACACTACCGGTCTGGCTCCTTCCTTTGGTCTCCAGGACTTAAAAGAGTATACATAGATACACACTTGATGATTCCTTTCCCATAAGGATTTCAGGAGATGCTTCTCCCTAATATTTTCGACCGGTGGCCCATCTATATTCTTCACCTGCAACTGTTTGATTAATCCACCTTTACTAGGCAATAACCCTTGAGGTAGCCTTCTTGGTTATTAGTTGTCATCAGCAAGGTCCCAAACTGCAATAACTAAGTTGACAATATTCGCACTAGTTTTTGTATATGTCCACCTGTGTCTTCGCCGTAACGAAGAAGCATATCACTTGGACGATATCTCAGTTAAATAGTCAATATGTCACCACCTCTTGAAGAACCTATCACTAGGGTAGATTGCACTAGTACCTATAGGGTTGGCCTTTATCAACAGTAGACAAGAAGGTGTTTAGCTTCAATATATTCGACATTCAAGGTGAGTGAAAGAAGCTGTTTACGTTTAATAGGATGCCGTGGGGTTTTCAAATTTCAGCGGTTCCTCATAAACGAGTCCACCTAGAATCTTGCATACTTTCTGGAGGACTTGTTACCAGACGCAATCCCAACAGCTGGCAGCTTTTAAACTGAAGTTCTGGTCTATACATCCACTTATAAAGTTGATGTGTATTTTTCTTGTTCTTATTTTCATACGCTCTTACTGAGATCACTTTTAGTCCCTCCAAGTTGGTCCAGTTTTCACCGGATTTTTATATGGGATTTCGTCTGCCTTTAGTGGTAGGAGAGTCCTTAACTTGCTTGAGTGCTACGTCTCGTAAACCGTCAATGCCCAGCTCTTGCTACGCTGGGACTCACGCTGTTCCTTGAAGTTTCTCAGAAACGCTTAGTAATAACGGACGCGAAAACCAAAACACCGATTGGTCACTCGAGAATTCTTTATTGTAACACCAACATATAGCCGACTTTAAAATTAAGCTTTAAAACTAAGGTTTCTGACGGTTTTGTCCTGACTTCTTTCTGAACAGCGACCGATGAGACGATGGCTGGTGTATTGATGCCTCCGCGAAAATTGGGGAAGTTGGTTTTGAGCAAACAACCATGAACTGATCGTTCAATCTTCAGCTACATTGAAAACAGGATTGACTGAGAATGTTGGAGACGACACTAGGTGGGGCCCCAGTGGAAAGTCATGAAAACTAGACTACATTCTAACTAGTGAACAACTGCTCGTCGAAAAGGTCCAGATCACGACTCCTCTAGGAAGTAGTGACCATGCAGTCATAGGTTTCGATCACGTTCTCCATGATCATTTGCAGTGGGACCTCACGCGACCATGTCTGTGTTATAGCAAGGCTGACTATGCTGAAATGCGGAGGCTTTTGTTCGACGCAAATTGGCCCTTAGCGTGGGATGAGCTATCTGTGGATGAACACTGGGAAGTGGTAAAAAAGATTACTCATATGGCACCCTCGGATATCGTCCCTTTAGTCACAATACAGTCCAAGAGAAGGTCATCGTGCCTGGGGAGAGGCACGCAACGTATTCTGCAATCAAAGCGGAAGGCTTGGTTTACGTGGCGCGAATCCAAGAATCAGACCAACCACGACGCATACTTGGAAAGCTGGAACCGGTGTAACGCGAGTGTCAGGAGTGACAGGAGGTCATTCCAGACTAACCCTGACAAAAAACTAGCAAACCCCAAAAACCTATATCGATTCATGTCGAAAGAAAACCAACCAACCAGGGGGCATGCGCCTTGGTTGGCCCAGACGGTCAATATCTCACTAGTGTAGAGATGGCTAAAACATTCAGTTTAGCCTTCGCCAAACGGTTAAACAGCAGTGTGGGTATTGCCGGTACGGATCAAAATGGCGACACTACTATTTTACAGGAGGAATACTAATGGCTGCTCCCTTTATAAACCCGGCAATAGTACTGGGGAAGCTACAGAGACTCACACCCGGGAAGTCCCCAGGTTGTGGCAACACCAGGCCATCTGTCTTGAAACAGTGCTCCGAAGCTCCCTGTAGGCCCTTATGCAACTTGCTCCTACACTCAATGGATTCAGGGAAACTGCCAAGGGAGTGAAAAAGAGCCATCCTTCCTACGGTCTTCAAGGGTGGCGATAGGAAAAATGCTACTAGTTATAGACCAGTAGCTCTACTCCCAGTGGTATCAAAAGTACTGGAAAGTATTATTGACGATCACATCAGGGATTACCTCGGTAGGTCTAATATACTCCATGAAGCCCAACATGGTTTCAGAAAAGTCATATCTTGTGTAACAAGCCTACTATCAGCTTGAGACATCAAGCTGGGATATGAATGTTCCAGTCCATATGGTCTTCCTAAACTTTGAGAAGGCACATGACACAGTTCGCCTTGACCTTCTCCTACACAGAATAAGTCAGGCAGGTATAGGTGAGCCACTTTTGCCATGGTTAAAGGAATACCTAGATGAAAGGCAATTTCGCACTGAGGTTAACCGAGTTGATCATCTTGACACAGTTCGTCATCAGGAGTGTCGCAGGGTTCTATACAAGGACCACTGATGTTTTTGATTTTTATCACTGATCTACCACGCCGTCTAACCTGCCAGACTCTTCCGTACGCTGACGACGTAAAGATATGGAGGGCGATAAAGTGTCCGGAGGATGCAGATAGGCTGCAGGAAGATCTAAATCTTCTGGAAGACCGGGCGGTGACAGTGGCATGACTTTCAACCCGAAAAAGTGCAAAGTAATGAAATTAAGCACTTGTAGACTGCATAATGCAAGTTACACCTTGTGTAATGAGAGCTTGTCCTACACAACGTCGGAGCGTGACTTGTTCTAGTTCTAACTGAAACAATGGACACAAGCGTAAACTGCACGGGGGACGTAGCGGGGTCATATGTGGTCATACACTTTACACATAGACGGTTACGTGCACTCACTCCTGAGCTCTTTCTAATTTTGTACAAAACATACATCAGACCATACCTTGAAGTGAATAACATTATTGCACTCCCATTACTTAGAAGAGAAGCCAACCTCTTGGAAAGAGTCCCAAAACGTGTGTCAGTGGAGTTGAAGATTGAACGATCAATTCTTGGTTGTTTGCTCAAAATCAACTTCCCCAATTTTCGCGGAGGCATCAATAGGACAGTCATCGTCTCATCGGTCGCTGTTCAGAAAGAAGTCAGGAGACAACCATCAGAAACCTTAATAGAAATATTTTTTATATGTTGGTGTTACAATAAAGAATTCCCAAGCGGCCAATCGGTGTTTTGGTTTTTCGTCCGTTATTACTAAGCGTTTCTGAAAAACTGCAAGGAACGGCGTGGGCCCGAGCGTAGCAAGAGCTAGGCATTAACGGTTTATGAGACGTGACTGACAACGTGTGACAAAAGTTGTTGGCCTTCGAAATAAACCATATGGTGAAAAGCTGAAGAAATTAGGCCTATTCACACTTAACTACTGTCGGATTAGGGGGGATTTGATTGCTGCCCACGGGATAACAAAAGACCGAAATCCAAACAATGATGTTCTGCCATTGAGTAGGTATAGGCTTCCCCGTGGAAATCCCAGAAGGATAACTCTGAAGAGGGCAAAGACCCGGGTGCGCTCCCACTCCTTTTCGCTGCGGGTGTGCCATCCCTGGAACTCTTTACCGGCAGATGTAGCTTTGGCACCATCTGTGGACGCCTTTAAACGAAGGCTGGACAATCATACAGCAACACAAGGACTGCGTCAAAATGGCCTATCCCCTTAAAATCCTATACAGCATTCATGGGTAGACAACAGAGTTCATCGATTTAATTCTTTACATTCTCTCCCATCTCACTCTCTTGACAACTCCAACTACTACACTTATTATTATCATTGCTGATATATATATATATATATATATATATATATATATATATATATATATATATCAACTTCAAATTTAATCAGCTGTCAATTTTTACGTTTTCTTTATTTCTTATTCTCTCTGTTAGTCTGAATAACTTCACTAATTATATCTATTATTATCATCTCTTTTCTTTTGACGACAATACCGGAGGACTAATTGGTGTAATGATCAAATACATTCACAGTACTAAAAGTCTTAACACACTTCATACTACAAACCACAAATAATTAATCCCAGCACTATTCCTTTTGGAGTCAACCAAAAGTACGACAGTCGAGTGGCGGGACGGACTACGAATAAGTTTACCGAGGATCAGGAACTTTTGTCTCACAATCAAGAGGCGAGCACAAAGAAATCAAATAGGTTTTTACTAGCTCGTAAACACGATATTGGATATTGGACACTACTAATAAACTAAGATTTGTTCTTACTTGTTATTGCGACATCCTGTCTATTATTGTCACACTATCCGCGATAATTTTGAACAAGCATACTCTTCTTTTGCCTAAGCTTACAGTTGAAAAAGGGATTGGGTGCCTCGATGTCGTAACTGATTTAGTTAGCTTGATTAGTAGTTGTCTAATTTCTCTTTGAAATTTATAAAACGTTCTATGATTAGTGTCACAATAAATTCTTCCAACAACTCTCAATATATACACAAACTAACCTGTCTTCATTTCTTTCTTCATTTGTTTGAAACATTGAACTAAACTCAAGGTCCCTGGGTCGCTGATTCCTGAGCCTCAACAGAGAAGGTTAGTTTATTAGCGTTTCCAGGAGGTTTCTGTCGACAGTCTGTAGTTGAATAATGTTCGGATACCAAATTATCTTAGATCTATCATATTTTAAAGGTAACAGTTGCTCGGGATAGATGCAAGAGAATGTGGTTATTGCGAGGACGAAATGGCGTCTGTTTCCACACAATACTGTGTGTGACAGTCTTCTAGTTTTGTATATTCAGCAGACGACCCCTGAATTTAAACGACATCCGCAAACCAAAATGAATGACAACGGGGCTAAAATAATGCTTTTCAATTCGCTATACCATAGAGACCTACCGTATAATTCAGTACAGTAGGATTTACCAATCAGCAAAATTCACAGTAATGCAATCAAATATGGTTAAATTTAGAGGACATCAGAGAGTGCAGAAAAAGCCACTTCATATACGGAACAGTAGTTGGTCGCTTTACTGAATCCTACTAACGTTTTCGTCAACAGAATAGACACCAAAGTCAAATGACCGTGAACCAACCAATCGAATCACTCGGCATTACAAATGGCTGCTCCCCATAATCTTCGCTACAATTTTCTTTCTGATTCAGGGTTAAGGTTAGGGTAGGATTGAAGTCGGTTTATGATTAAGGTTAGAGCAAAACTTGCAACGATCTTAAAAAACATCCATTTGTAATGTTGAGCGGTCTGATCGGTTATTAAAAGTAATTTGACTTTAGTGTCTATTCCTTACCGTTGCCATATATATTCTCTGGTGTGATATCAATAAGGTATCATGGGAGCTGTTTGAAAGCGTCATGTAGTACCTTGGAATTCGCTACAGAGTTGACGTTGTGGTACAACTTTTCACCCACTTTACACTATGCGTCACACCCACTTTAGTCTCCAAGGTCTATTAACTGAGAATTATGTCATAAAACTCTTACGATATGTTTTAGAAGTGGCTCACCAGCGCGAAATATCTACCTAAGTTTCGACATCAACAAGCTTTCTTAAGAGGGGATTGGAATGTGGGTTTGGTACTCGACTCTTAGCTACTGTGATCCAAGTGTGAGTGGCACTCAGTCAGTCTTGGACTAAGCGACTGGGTTACATCTACAGGTTTGGCTTATAAGTGTGAGCTCGTGGCCTGCTGCACGAAATATGAATTCCTGATAATTAATAAAGATTAACTTGAATTCAGATAGTTTACATCTCGTCGTGAGGAAGAAAGACTTATGGTAGTCTTCTGAGGACGCTAGTTGCCACGAACATAATTGTCCATCACATTGTCCTATGGCTATTACGCACACGAAGTTACATCCTCCGTGATATTTTTATAGACTCCGGTAACATAACTTTCTTGAAAGTGTGATGCTTTGGTACAGCTAATGATAAAACTTGTGACAGCAACCAAATTGGACCCTCCAATAACAAACGCGACAACTGCACTACACATACTTTTATATTCTCCTATTAAATGCATTTGTTGAAAAGGCTGCATCAATTGCTGTTGAGTAGTGTATTTCAATCTCAGCTTCAGAGAAAAAGTGGTGTAAATACTATTTAGAAGTAGTCAGTCTTTGCATCACAGGATATGTTTGTGTGACGTTTAAACAATCTATATCCGAGTCACCTCTAAGTCTAGGTAGATAGGACGGTCGTAGTTTTTCTATATTACTTGTCTAGTGAGTGTGGCGAGTTGGCTTTATCATTCGACTTTTGGACAGTGGGCACTAGGTTCGAGTTTAGCTCTACCACTCACTAAAACCTAAGAGATTGGAGATAACTAACACTATAATAAGTCTGGAGTCTAATCTGTTGTGTAAGAAATGTGTGCCTTGTAGGCGACGTTACATACATGCCCAACTAAAAGAAATGGATTTGTGTTTTTTATGTGGTTTACTATCATGTGTTTTGCAGTCCACATGCCTAGTTGGCGTCTTTAAAGGTAGACTGTTTTGCGTAGATGATAACTCACAAATAGTGGCAGTTAGCGTGATTTAGTCGACATTTGTGGATATATTTGCTTGACCACTGTGTACTTATAATCTTGTCATTATTTTGCATCGACATGTTGCTCTAACATGTGTTTTTTCAAATTATTTTAATATAGAGGTTGGTTAAGAGCTGGTTCTAGTTCGGTATCTTTGAGAAGGTTTCAGTTTGCGCGATGCCAGAAACGATTGCTACAAAGAATTTGAAAGGTAAGTTTAGTATTATTACATCGTCAAATTCTTTAGATGGACAACAAGAGGAACAAGAGTTGGCCTCCAAAGCTCTTCGTATACAAAATAAACGCTTTTATCTGGATATTAAACAGAACAAAAGAGGCCGTTTTGTTAAGATAACAGAAGTTGGCACTGGAGGCCAAAAATCGCGCATTTTGATGTCAATGCCTGTTGCTTTAGAAATGAAAGAAAAGATAAATAAACTGAGTGACACATATAGCCAACTTCCTTCACACAATCGGGAATCACTTGCTCAAGATGGGCGTATTGCATCAGACATCATTGTTCGCGATAGCAGACGCTATTATCTTGATCTCAAGGAGAATGAACGTGGTCGTTTTCTGCGTCTTGCTATGCTTTCTATGGGTGTACGTGTACAAATCGCTATTCCAGCTCAGGGTATGATCGAGTTGCGCAATGCACTGGCTGATCTTATACAAAATTATTCAGGAGATACGGAAAATGGTGAGTCTTAATTCATTGGTCTGTATGCTTATCGTCAAATATTTTGTCAGCGAAAAGGTTCATTAACAGATAAGTATTCTTTAGTTTAACTTGAAAACCATAGCAAAAAAGTAGACAGATTGGTTATTGTGTAGGTGGGCGTGGTTTTCGTAGCTAAACTGCTTTTCAAAATGTTATTTTATTAACATCTAGTAAGTCGTACATGTATATTCCTTTTTATTTCACATACTTGTTTTTTTTCCTGCTCTTATGTACTGAGTAGTTAACGATGTGACTTATGTGCTTTAGTACTCGACTCTCGGCTGTGTAGTCCTACGTTCTGATTCTGGTATTCTCATCGGTACTTACACAAGTACTGATCCCGTGCTACTACATAAAAGTTTGCTGTGCATCTAAGTGCCTCCTCATGGGTTTACTTTCAATGCATAAAACGTTTTCACCAGTTTGGAAAGGCATTTATTAAGATTAATTTTACAGTGTAAAATAAATCTTTATGGTATGTGGTTTTGGCTTTGTTAACGAAGGACCGTGTAGTCAGAATTCATAGTTGTTTTGCGACTATTAGAGTCTGGTATTATACATGGCCAAGTTCAACAATATCGTCCCAGGAGTGTGAACGCTCCAATGAACTTGAATGCATGCTAGCCGTTGGCTAACGGCATCTCTCATTATCATAGCTGAAATATACATAAATCTTTTGTTGTCATTTCCTTTACAGACATATTTTCAGACCTACCTGAATCTAAAGTACTCTTTGTTGGCAATAAAACATTCTACTTTGATGTTGGTTCAAATCGATTTGGCATATTTTTGCGTATCTCTGAAGTTCGAGCTAACATTCGTTCTTCAGTCACTATACCTGAACAACATTGTACACGATTCTGTGATATTATTACTGAATTGGCTAGCAAAATGTCTAATCAGAAGTTAACTAATGGTGTGTCTGAGAATGGTAACACTTCTGATCAACCGGAGGAAACAGTGAAGGAGTCAATAGAAAAGGAAAATGGTGGAGAGGTTCCATCAGCTGCATCCTAATGTGTTTGTTTGTTTTCTTTTGTTGTTGGTGGGTTTTGTTTCCCCTGACTTGACTTCGATCTCTCAACAATGCTTATTATGGCATTTATTATATTAGCACTATAATTGTGATGCATGTTATTCTGTGTTCAGTTATATAATATTTGCTTTTACCTTTTTAATGTTTTAATGCGTTTACTTTAATATTTTAATTTTTTTTCCTATGTTTTTTTTAAAACAATATGCAATAGTTATTTTATCTTTTATTTATATAATTTAGTTTTGTCTTTTCTTAATATTAGTTTTTTTTTTTATTTATTTTTTTCTTATGCATGCCGATCGTTTAAATTATAATTATTAATAATATCATTATCATCAATGTTATTATCATCACCATCTCTGTTTGTGTATTTTATATCTTATTGGGAAATGCGCAGCACAATCCTCATAATAATCTCAATCATTATCATATGACTTCAAAGTATCATATACAAATATAATAATAATAATAGTACCTAAAGTCCATCGTATGTATTGCGATTTTTCTCTATCATTTTAATGCCACTGCTAGTCCAACTGTGTCTGATATCTTGTGCTTATTGTCATCACATCACATCACATGAAACATCACCCAGTAGTAGTTAACTAACAAGTATCCTACTCTTACCTTACTCAGTTGGAAAAGTGTTACTTTTGACGTCTGTATCTTCTATCTGTCTGTCTGTTTTCGACATAACTGTAGAAGAGAAAGGTGATGTGAGTGAAGAGGAATGATGCTCAGCAAGGCTTCGTGTGCTTTTGGAAGTGTGTGGGCGATTGTTACTTCCCGGCTGCCCATACCGTGGAAGTTGGTTGCATGACCGTAGAGCCGAGGGGACAACTGCTTGAGGCCGGTCACACACGGACTGTTTTTGTTTGGTGTGTCTCAGTAGCATATTTATCACTTCTGCCCTGTAACACGACAGCAGGAAGCGCAGTCGTTGTTAATCCGGGACCCGACCGATCCGGCATGATATTTTGTAAATTTGTTTGAATCATAGTACTGGATTGGGTATCCGCTTTTTGTCTAACCGCTATCCAAACAACCTTTCTAGCATGGTAGGAACTCAAGCGACATAAGTCTCAGCCAGTATAGCTTGTTGGGTCATTGCGGTGTTCAAGCCCAACCACCACGTCAAGGTAGCGGCTTTGGGTCGGGGTTTTCGACATAGAACTTTGCACATATGTGCGGAAGTTAAAGTCGCCACACTCCCTCCGTGTAGCACACAAAGCAAGAGAAGAAAGTACAAGAAATGCACAATAAAGACAGTAAACAGAGGTGTGAGACAAGCTAATAAGTAGTAACGAAGAACAAAACAGTTTCATTGGAAATCATAAGTCACAAGGAGTGTATGCATCTGCGCCACTGAGAACGATTTTGAGTCATGTCACCAATTGTTTCCAACCATTGGTTTTTACCGTCCCGAGGACCCCAACCAGGAAGTCTAGTTCTTCCTGCATGGCTTAATCTAACTGTTGTAGATTTCACTGACTGGTGCCATGTTTTTGTTTTGACCGCCGCTAGCTTTTTTCCAGCCTGACTCTAGTCTGCTAACATAGCCTGTCGTCGAGGAAGGCGATGGCTAGACATGCACATGTCCTAACCATCTCGGTCGATGTAATTTCACAGCCTCTGTCTGTATCTTGAGTGATGCGTGTTATTTACTTATGGTTCCTGGTATTTAAGAGATGACTCTAGTAACTGTTTAAATACCATGAGAAGTGTGAGCACAGTTGGAGTACGGACCGCCATAACGATTATGCGTGTGATCAAGGTTTTGATAACAACAGTTCATTGCTACGGTAAATGGCTCAGTAACAAAAACAGGAGGCTGAATAATACTGAATAGGGCATCTCATTTTGTGATACTTTTCTTCTGCAGTCAAGTGAGTGGTCCTATGTTACTATCTTTCAGTTGTTCATTTAGAAGCCGATGTAGCACATTAAATTAGAGCTGCTAACAGTTACCGAGGGAATACAAGTGTAGGGCTCAATGGTTTTACACCATGAATAGTGGAGATGTGGCTCATTGGCAGGGAAGACGGTTCTCAACTAATAGGTCACGGGTTCGAGCCCTACTCTATCTATATCAGTCTGAGCAACTGGCTAGTATGTTCAACCCTCCTGCGGCAATCTGGTATGTGGGAAGTCTCTTCTGAGTAATTGTGATCATGGTAGCAGTGCGCGACTAGGTTCAGCTGACTGAATTTTAAACTGAAGTATTGGAGATAGACGGGACTTATTCCTTAAGGTCTTCAGTGGTTATCTCAGTCTTGGGTGATTAATAAAGAACTGAAAATCACTAAGGATTTAATTTGGTCGGCACCTGTCTGTCTGTTTTCGACATAGAACTTTGCACAAATGTGCGGAAGTTAAAGTCGCCACACTCCCTCCGTGTAGCACACAAAGCAAGAGAAGAAAGTATAAGAAATGCACAATAGAGACAGTAAACAGAGGTGTGAGACAAGCTAATAAGTAGTAACGAAGAACAAAACAGTTTCATTGGAAATCATAAGTCACAAGGAGTGTATGCATCTGCGCCACTGAGAACGATTTTGAGTCATGTCACCAATTGTTTCCAACCATAGATTTTTACCGTCCCGAGGACCCCAGCTTGGAAGTCTACACCTTTCTACGTGGCTTAGACCAACTGTTGTGGATTTCATTGACTGGTGAGGCCATGTTTTTGTTTGACCGCCGCTAGCTTTTTTCCAGCCTGACCCTATATCCGCTAACATTGCTCGTTGAGGGAGGCGATGGTTTGGCATACGTAACACATGTCCTAACCATCTCAGTCTTTGTAGCTTCACGACTTCGGCGATTGATTTCCCCTGTTTACCTAGAACTCGACGCCTAACTTCAATGTTGCTCACCTTATTATGCCACTTCACACGGGAAATAAAGCGCAGGCACCTATGATCAAAGACAGCTAGCCAAGCTTTTCATGTCTTCCACTCTCAGTGGCCAGGTCTCACAACCATAAAGAAGGACGGAGCGGACTGATAAGCAGTACACCCGCCCTTTGGTCGATAGTCGAACATCTCGTCTACGCCAGAGTCGGCGTAAACTGGCAAATGCGAAACGAGCCCCTTGTATTCGTGCTGAGATTTCGTCAGAGATAAACCCGTTGGGGCTGATGGTACTTCCCAAATAAGTGAAGATGTCAACGTGGTCGGCACCTAATGCTGGAACTCCCAGATGTATAGTTGTACGGAGTCTATTTTGAATCTGCGGAAGTTGGTAGAATCAGAGAAGTTTCGAATCTAAAATGAGGGTTGTTCTGACCAAGACCTCCAACCATCTCGGGGGGCATACATGTCAAAGCAGGAACTAAATTTCTTGACTTGTAGATGGCATTTTATCCCCACTGAATAAAAAGCAGTGTTACTGGAAGCAGCATTCACGCTAGAGAGTTAGTGTTTAATAAAGACTCAATACATATACTAAGAGCTCATCTAACTTCAGATAGATTGTGCCAGTTTAGCATGGTGGGAGGCGTATACATATTCATCAGGAGTCAAGCGTAACGCGTGCAGCATCCCTAATAGATATTGAAAGCAGAGGATATGTGAGGGCTTCACCTATTCGAACGTGTTTGGCTTCGGAAAATCACTTGGTTGTGGCGTAGCCATTTTGTGTGAAACGAAGTGACTGGCTTACGTCTATATATATATATATATATATATATATATATATATATATATACCTAAAAGTGTTATGTAAGGCGAAGTATAACTAGGTCGAATGAAAGAAAAGGATGAGTAGAATAATCGAAAAGAAACTGTCAAACCATCAAGGTACTGTTGTTTTGGGCGGAGTAAAGTGTTATTCAATAAGCAGCCGAGTGCAGGTTTCGGTGCAAAAAACTAATCACAGTAACGCAGGTGTATTTGTGCTTGAAATTCATCATAGCTATTGTATGCTGTTTCATCCAGTTTAGATTTTAGAGTGGGACGTGCTACTTTTGATTTTATTCCACACTTCTGTCTTACACATTATTTAATACTTTATGTGCGAATTTAAAGTCTGACAATTTGGAGCATTATGTTGTGATAGTAGGGTGTGACTGATTGTTTAAGCACTCGGCTTTCAGCTAAAGGGTCTCAGGCTTGATTCTCGCACTACCTACGTCAAGCTGGTTAGTATTCTTAACTTACAGACAATAAGTGTGGCTCATAGTTCGATACTGGTTAGCTACATTTCTAACCAACCAACAGTTTAGAACGGCCCATAGTCTCTCATCTACTCCTCCATGTCACCCTCGCACCGTTGACCCACTCACCGCTTCCCATTGGGATTCCACTGAAGCCATGACCTACATTGGGCGCAATGTCATTCGACGGCCTCAGCCAGTGTATGCCTTATCCATCTCCACTTTCTCCTATATATTTGTTGAGCAGTCGGCTGTTGGTTGGTTTATTGCCAGCCAGATTTTCTTGTTGCTAATTCCTGCTGGCCGGCCGGTCATTTGATCTTCAGTATAGAGCGAAGTGTGCGACTGTTGATAAAAGTCTGTAACTTGTTAAAAATCATTTTCGTGGCACGCAGTGCAAGTTTCTAACCCGTCTAAAAGGACTGACTTCATATTTTTGTTCAAAATCCGAATCTTGTTCTGTATGTTGAGGGCTCAGTACGTTACATGTTTCCTAGACGTCTTAATCAATGCACCTTCATAACCTCAACGATTGACTTGCCCTTCTTACCGAACAATCTACGCCTAACTTCAGTATTAATGAATATATTATACCACCTAACAGGAGAAGTTCAGCGGATGTCAGCTGTTGAAAGAAATGACACACTAAGTCACCATCTAGTGTTTATACGAAGACTTAACTCCAGTGAGAGGGTTAGTTGTACTTCTGGTAGTATGTTGTATATACTATTGTAATACGTTTACTAAAGACTAGGTTATCGATGCATATACCTAGATCGCGTTAGAAAGTATAAGACTCCCATTCAAAGTGTTAGAAACGGAATACAACACCAATCACTCGTAAATCTGATAAGATTTTACTTCTGATCAGTAAAAACAGAATACTAGTGGATCTTATATATAAATTTTATAAATATTAATGTGAATAAAGTTACTGAAATGTATACAAAGTAATACTTCACCAAAGAAAAGCAGCTTTCTCACGAAGTACTCTTGAACCAAAACGATTCCATTCTACTGGTGTTAACCACAGATCATTTAATAGATCAGTTGTAAGCAGCAGTCTAGCTCCAAACCATGAAAGGTCAGCAGGATCCGAATGGTTAATAATTTCCACTGTCGGTATATAACCTGATGTAGCTGCTGTTGTTGTTTGTTTTTCGCGTACAATTGCAGTCAGCTGTTCAGTTAACCATCTTTCTATAATCTGATTACTGATACCAGCTACACCTCCACCGGTTAGAATTATACAGCCTAATAGACGTCGACGTACTTCATCAGCTACTATGCTTGAACTTTGTACAAGTCGTCCTCCAGGTGTTGGACCTGTATTCTGTGAAGTCACCACCTCTGTACTGAATTGAGAGCTGACAAAATTTGCACATTGATTAATACTCCACCAAACTGCTTCTGGAAGTGATTCAAAAAAATTAGGTCTTTGTGAAATGTGGTTGTTTCCTGGAGGCGCCTACACAGACAAATAAGGAGAGAAGAAAAGTAGTAGAAGTGTAAAAAAAAACGTAAACTTTATTTCCAGCAAATAAATATGAAATCTTTCAAAAGTTAGTTTGTAGGGATTTGATTTGTTTCAAGTTTGATTATGGATTGATAACAATTGGAGAGCCACTGGAAACCAGGGTGTACTGGACAGCTGCTCCTCGATAGTATTCAGCAACGGCTATGGTTCAAACCATGGACCTTGCAATTACAAGACAAGCTTGTAGACTATTCAGTCACTGGAACCCAATCCGATGGTCCATCAGTTCTAGCTTCTGTCAACTAACGATTTTTAGCGCCACAACCAGCCCATGCACCCACCAAACGATAGGGTAGACGCCACTGGTCTGATGTTCACTAGTGACTGGGCTAAAGAACAAAGTTGCCTGGAGTTCCAGTGAGAAGTGTCCAATGGGGTCGACCAGGTCGGGTGTGAGGAAAGATGCTTATACCTATGACATTGGCTGGATGTGGCGCTAAAAATCGATAGTTGACAGAAGTCAGGATTGATGGGCCATTGGATTTCATCGTACTGACTGAACAGTCAACCAGGTTAGGCGTAGAGTTCTAGGTAAACAGGGGAAATCAATCGACGAAGTCGTGAAGCTACAAAGACTGAGATGGTTAGGACATGTGTTACGTATGCCAAGCCATCGCCTCCCTCAACGAGCAATGTTAGCGGATATAGGGTCAGGCTGGAAAAAAGCTAGCGGCGGTCAAACAAAAACTTGGCCTCACCAGTCAATGAAATCCACAACAGTTGGTCTAAGCCACGTAGGAAGGTGTAGACTTCCAAGCTGGGGTCCTCGGGACGGTAAAAATCTATGGTTGGAAACAATTGGTGACATGACTCAAAATCGTTCTCAGTGGCGCAGATGCATACACTCCTTGTGACTTATGATTTCCAATGAAACTTTTGTTTTTCTTTATTACTCCTTTGTCTCACATCTCTGCTCACTGTTTATGTTATGCTTTTCTTATACTTTCTTCTCTTGCTTTGTGTGCTACACGGAGTGTGGCGACTTGAACTTCCGCACATTTGTGCAAAGTTCTATGTCGAAAACAGACAGACAGACAGCTCGTCCTGTAACCTGAAGGTCCTAGGTGCATACTGATGAAGAGACGCACATTAGGATGGAGTAATCATCCAGTGCTCAATGGCTTCCAGTGGTTCTCTAACTGAGATATCAATCCGTGTTCAAACTTGAACAAGTATGAAAGTAATGTGTCGGTTAAAAAAAGCTCTATACATGATCTGAGATGTAAAGTAAGACGGTGGCATATATTTTTCAAACATTTCGATGACTACATCCTATTACCCAGTACTACTGTAGCTCAGGCTAAAACAATGTCATCATTTGGTGTTAGACCGCTGGAGGTAATCAACAGAAGGCCCTGAACCTAGGTTTCGTGCTTGCTGTAACTAGTCAACAAGGCATACAGCTTTGAAGGAAATGACATCACCTCAGAGATTCGAATCTGCGTCACCCAACGCTACTATAAAGCACGTCACCACTGAGCTATTCAGACTGCCCATTGACTTCCTAGAGGACTAATGGATACATTGGAAGTTGATGTCGTCAGCATCTTATGAATTATCAGATAATCATGCATAAAAAAGAAATCTTTGCTAAGACTTATTTCTATGCAGGTGCTCTTAACTGTAGACGTTGAGTAAGGTAAGTACTACTTATAATCAGATATAAGTAGTATACTGGTAAACGAGTTCAGAAAAGCAACAGTATTTTTCGGAGACTGGATAAAGCAAAGAACAGAACTCTGAGAAGAACGTTAGAAACACTGTGAGGAATCCAACAAGCTATCGAATGTGATGATATTCGACCAATTTGCAAATGATGTGCAAATAAAGCAATGGAGATATGATACACCAAACATATGTACCTACAATGAGTTTGTTCTAATGAACATTCACTCGAGCCTCATCGATCTCTTTTTTCTTACAGTACTACTAGTGATCGAAGTCGCTACACTTTTATGGAAAACAATGTCAGTGTTGAAAGTATAACTTTATTTAATGTGATTTATTAGAATTGTGACATACAGCATCGAATATTAAACAGTCACACTTCTTGGCATCAATTAAAAGATCGATATTGTGATTATTCAGAGAACTAAGATATGTTGTTATTCGGTGGTTGGAGGTAATCAGCCACAGGAAGCCTTGGACACCACCCAAGTTTCAGGCGTGTTGGCACTTGTCAGTCATCAAGGCGTATCTGCAATCTTGAGGGAACTCATGTCCCTTCTGAGATTCGAACCCGCATCATCCACAGTGAGTGCTGCAGTCAGAGATATTACCATTGATCTATTCGGGGTCGCGAATGACCTCCTGTAGGACTGTATTAGATACTCTGACTGGACATTAACCGGTGTCTTATGTCTAGTCCTTTGTTTACTGAGTGCACCACATGATAGTGAAACAGCCACCTAGCACAAACTTGGCTGCAGTAAACTAATGACTAGACAAATGTCATCAGTTATTGTCCAATCAAAGAACTGCGGCCGATTAAATTTAGAATCTTGTTTAAAACTACACACTATTACTGATAACTAGATGAGCTAAAATACTTTTGATGTACCTATACTTTCTGTATGTTATCCAGTTTACATGATTTAAATGACATATTGCATCCTTTAATATTTTCATGCGTCACTCCTATATATTCATTAGTATAGGATGCGATTATGTACACTTTCAACTAAAACAAATATATACAGGAGGAAATGAAGATGGATGGTGCACACACACACACACCGGTAAGACCGTTGAGTTACAAACTAGGACGAAACAGCTGTCCAGTACTCCCAGTTGGTTTTCTAATGGTTCTCTTACCAATTTCAGCTCAAGATGAAATCCTGAAACCAATCAAGCAAATCCCTACAAACCAATACTTGAATATCAGTGAGATGCTCACTGGCGACTGGCCCTATCCAGGTAGTTAGTTACTTGGGGTTCCAGTGGGAAGTCGTGACCAGTAGGGTGCAACAGGTCGAGTGTGAGGACAAATACTCGCTGAATACATTGGCTAGGGGTGGCGCTATATCGTGAATTGGCAGAAGCTGGAATTCATGGGCCATTGGATCGGGTCCCAGTGCCTTAATGGTCTACGAGCTCGCCTTGTAACCAGAAGGTCCTGGGTTCGAACCCTAGTGGTGGGTGCGTACTGATAAAGAGTCGCAAACTATGACGAGACAGCTGTCCAGTACTCGCAGGTTTTCCAATGGTTCTCTAACCAATGTAAGCTCATGATGGAATCCTGTAACCAATTACGTATTATGCGTCAGGTCCTAGAGTTGAATCTGAATGTCAATCGATAAATTGAGCATCCAAGGGTGACATGGAGAAGATCATATGATGAGGAGTTGATAGTTTATGGGGAATAGTGGAGCCAAACGGAAGATGACTGCAAAGAACAGTATGAAATGCAGATGTTCTGCTGAAACCATATGTTCCACTGAGAACCTACAGGAATAATAATGATAATAGCAATATATAGATAATAAACACAACTTCTACAACTCTGATTTTATTGTCGTCGTCGTACAGCTATGGCAGTGTTAGCAAATCACAGCATACCTCCAGATACACACTATGAATAAAAACGTCCCTATTTTCTAACATATTTCCATTTCAATATAATATAGGTTTTTGTATTTCCCAATGAATGAAAAACAAAACGATTTGTTTTTACTGACGTTTTTCTATTTAATGCTAATAGCTTTATCCAAGGATTATTAAACCAGAATTTAAGAATTCTCAGCTCATATATAACAATTTCATCATCGTTCATCAGCATGAGGTAGTTTTTGCGCTGTCAAAGTGGTCAAGTGGTAAAGATAGCAAAACCAAGTATAGATTGTTGATTTGATAAGCGTAAAAGATTATAAAAACAGCGTGTGTTTACATAATGAAATTGCTTATCAGTCACATTCGTGTTGATTTTATCACTTCATGGGGGAGGGAGGTGTTGCAACCAGGTCAAATTCTGTTTCAGTTCATCATTTCTATTCAGACAATTTTGATTCAATTTGATATGAAGTACTTCTGATGATGGAGGACGTTCTTTGTGATTTCTGAAATGCTTTTTCTGGATTATTTCAGTATTGTCAAAATCAATTTTGTAGCCTGATTCCATAGTGTGTAGACCTATGACTGATGGTTTTCCAAGCTTTTCTAGTTCAAATGGAGTTACTTCTCGGTTGTCGAACAGATGCGCATCTACGGTGTTCACCTTTTCTAATCTTCATATCTCTCTGGCGATGTTTGTCTGATGTATATCGCATCACATTCCAAACATTTAATTTTTGTAGACACAATTCGATTGAGAATCCTTAGGGAGTTGGTCTTATACGTGGACAACGTTGCTTTGTAGTGTGCGTGTCTGATGTTTCGATGTTGTGCTTATTGAGTATTATTGGAAAATTGTCTGACATTTCTGATCTACATGGAATGACAACTGTTGAGCTCCGTGTCTTCGGAATACGTTTTCGACCGTAATTAAGGTCGGTGTTGATTTTGTTGATGAAATTCCCTTGGTAGTTATTTTTCTTGAAAGTTTCAATAATTTTCAGGAGTTGGTTTGTTGGGATTAAATTTGTTTTTACGAGTTTGACCACGGATTGATATCAGTTAGAGAACCATTGAAAACCAGCAAGGAGTACTGGACGGCTGTTTCATCCTGAAAGTTAATCCGATTTTCGCTGGTGACGGAGTTTCCTGGAGTTCTAGTGAGAAGTCGTGACCAATGAGATCCAACCAACCAATTTTGAGGATGGATTTCCCGCCGATGACATTGGTTGGTGGTCGAGCTAGAAATCACGAATTTGTAGAAATTAGAATTCACGGGCTAGCTAGTGAGTCGGGTCCCAATGGCTGAATGGTATACGAGCCAGCTTGCCTTGTAACCGGAAGGTCTTGGGTTCTATCCCCAATGGGTGGATACTGTCGATGATTCCCAAACTAGTCTCAATAATGTTCGATATTTCTTCTTCTTAATTTTCTTTCCCATCCGTTATCAAAGAGTGTGCTCGCCCAAGAAGACCTGAAACAACTGATTAGTTATGCTGGGTGATAAAATAAGTCGTAGTATTTGTGTCACAAACGTGCTATGCGAAACGCAATCACAAAACACTGTGAAATGAGAAACGATGATGGTAATTAGTCATAATAGATTCATATAATGTGAGGAATAAAGATTGATAAGTCAGTTCAAGGTTGTGAAAGGTGTTAGATGACTAGCTAGCACAAAGTTGTATGCATTAGGTAGGAGACAGTAAGACTGCAGTGAAAAATTCATTATAAAATAATCAATCAATATTTGAAATGAAACAGATTGAGGCATATATTAAGAAACGAGAACTATTCTACAATTTTTGTAAATGCTAATAGCTTTGTGGTGAGAGCAGGCTGCTAGCCAATTGGTAGGCATTAATCTACGTCAATGTCTAGGTCACTAATATTGGCCGTGAGAAAATATGATCAAGGCTGATTCAACAACCAATCACAGCAGACTTAACGTGGGCAAATATGATTCGCAGATAGATGGCTCCATTTTCCGAGGTTACCCGAAACAACCAATCAGAAGCCTGCGTTTGTCTGCTTAACTTCCGAGAAACAACCAATCAGAAGACTGCGTTTGTCTACTTGAATAAGCTATAATAATGTGCAGGAAATATATATAAATACGTGTTGATTTCCGTAATAAAACGATCTGTTGCCGGCCCTTGTCTTCTGTTGTTACAGCTTTATCAAAGTATTGTTAAACCAGAATTTACAAAATCTCAGCATATATATATATATATATATATATGTATGGCCAATCTGACAACGAAAAGTGACCCCATACTGATGAACGATGATCAAGTTAGTAAACTTTGTTTTGATAACATAACAGATGTACTATTACCTTTGTTATTTGGTTTAGTGATTGATCTTCATTGTTATTTTGACTTTCAATATGTCCTTTTAACTTAACCTAAATATATTTTCGCACTTCTTAACTCTTTGTTATATATATGTTAGGTGGATTTTGTAAATTCTGGTTTAATAATACTATGATAAAGCTATTAGCGGCAGTATTAAATAGCGAAACGTTAACAAAAACAACGGTATCGTTTTGTTTTTCATTCATTGGGAAATACAAAAAAGCCTTTATTATAATGAATATCACATATACCCGATGCCCAAAATTTTTCACTGTTAAAAGTGAACTTTGTTTGGACACATATATATTTCCGTTTTCACTAAAAGAAGATATCGCTGTTCAGGTAAACCTGGAGAAGAAACCATGACCGCAGACGTTTACCAAGTCGGCTACAAAGAGGATCCTTCTTGATGGCTCTTTGTCGCGAATTGGTAGAAGCGGGTTATTCAACTTCAACTTAGTGTCTAGATGGACAGCAAGTGCAGACAGTAACTTGTGAAGGCTCCGGGTTCGACTCCTGGTGAATAGGTAAAAGGTGGACACTAACTGAAGAGTACTAAATTTAGAACGAAACAACTGTTCTCAGTGGCCCATGGTTTTCAATCATTCTCTGACTAACTGTCGGCTAGCGATAATATCTACATGAAAATACTCTATCACAAAACACTAAAGCTCATCTAACTTTTTTCTATTTATTTATTTAAACGCAGAAAAAACTTGGTACAATATGGCACCAAGAAAGATGCGCCACACATTTCATTTGTTGTGTGAGGGCTGATATACTGCCGGGCGCCCAGACCGAAGCAGGTGGTTTTCTTAAGGGACCATCCCCCGAGCCTTTGACTTGGAGTCTAATCCGCAAGGCAGCGGAGCAACGTCAGGAGCTACATTCCCATGGTTTCCGGTGACCCATATGGGTTCATACGCCATTTGATCCGATTGGATTTTGGAGCCCATGTACCCCATGGTAACTGCTTTTAGTCTAACCGCTATCCAAACAACCTTCCTGACATGGTGGGACCTGCAGGGACATGAGTCCCAGCCAGTTTAGCCTGTTGGGTCACTGCGGTATTCAAGCCCGATCACCACGGCAAGGTAGCAGTTGTCGGCTGCCTCAATACTATGCTGCTTGAAGGAACTTACTAGTTCAGTGGTATCCATTTCCGCGTCTGGTTGTTCAGTCGATGCAACAGCTGTTGACTGCTCATTAGGTAGACCACGTTTTCGACGTTCACGTGCAGTAAGTGATATATACAAGTCATCAAAGGGATCATCTGGTTCTGAAGAATGTAGGGCAGGCAACTGATATATACAATAGGCTTCTTTGGGTAGAATAATTGTAGAAATACAAGCAAACGGGAGTATACAAGATAACAGGACTGTAGATACATGAAGACGAGAAATATCATATCGATTCCGTTGGTATATCCATTGAAGTGATACAGTAGAATCGTGTTTATTCATCCCTGAAGATTGATTAGTGTTGTTCGATTGGATGTCTTCCTCCAGTTTGACTCTTTCATTTTGTTGAGAAAGCAGATGATCCATTGAACATTGAAGTGAATTCTCCCAAAGTGTGCGTAAATCTTCTACATCTGAGAGGTGTTCATATTTTAAATCTCTAAAGAATAATAATAACTTAGCAATAATATTATTTTTTTTTATCAATAAAACATAACTGAGAACGAACTAATTCAAAACATATAGCTCAACAAATATCCTGAAGAAAAAGGAGATGAATAAGATACCCTCCAAGAAGATCGTTAAGTGACATCGCTCTCCAGGCCATTACTCGAGTGGAACCCGGATGGAAAACGACAAGTTGGATGTTGGTCGAAGCGCGAGCTGCACCTGTGTCTACCAAGCCGACGAGAGTTGTGTCATGAAATTTAGCTAAAACAGTTGGCAGCTGCTTAGTTACATGTGGACCCTCGGATATTTGCATAACATTATGTACAAAAAAGGAAGACTCACCAATTTCTTCTGACAAGCGAGGGTTCGTCCAGCCCGCCCTCGGACGTGATTGATTCGGGGTTTGTCTTGCCTTGGGGGCAGGTCGGAGGAACTGTCGAGACCTCCACTCATTGGGTGTAGGCTTCTTTGCAAGATGCTCGTGAGGTATTGTCGGTTCTCGAGGTTGTGACAGCGTACTGGACACTTCTGTTGTTCGTTGGTTTTTACGAAGCTTAATGAGGGCCTCATTCTGTTTGGCGACGTGCAGGGCCTCTACGGGCGATGTAGATTACTTTCAGTGACACGTTCTCTAACTTCATCGTGCAGTAAACCCTCTTCGAACTGATGAAGGATACGGGAGCTTATCTCTCCTGCGGAGTCTCATTCAAAAGCCATAGGACCTAGCTCTCGTAGGCGCCAGAGGTATTCCTCTGTATGGAGGAGATCGTGTGAGGAGGAGATAAGTGCTTATGGATGATAGTGGCGTTAGCTCAGAGAATACAGAAAAGTGGACAAAGTGGAGATGTGCTATTGAAGCTGTTCATATGCACCAAAAACTTAAAATGCTAATTATAATAGAACCTTTGTTATGTACTGGTCGAGAATTTAATAGTCCTGACGCAAGAAAGACGGAAATCAGAAGACCACTAGGTTTGTAATGATACTTCTATTTCCCAAAACACCAGGAGAATCAATGTGTCACACAAGTGTGTGAGAGCAAAAATATAAATGTCCGAACAAGTGTGTGAACGAATATTCAAAATGAACAAATCAATAGACAGTCTTAACATGATTGGCTAATTATAATGGAATATCGATCCATATACACATAGCAAAATATATCAGACTGTCAAACAAACACACACATTATATGGATATATATATCAACCTTTTTTGCCATAATATAATGCTTAAGATTCACGCTTATTATATGACTTTAACAAAATGTGGGATGAGATCAGCGACTTTTGTTTATTCTGTACCACACAAAACTGTTGCTGATGAGGTAGGATCACAGGTAGGTAGAACAACTAATCGAGTCTTCTTAGGATGATTGTGAAATAGAAAGAGCAGTAGTGTTGGGTGTATGGCCACTGAGCTTGAGGCCTGTCACACACGGCCTATTTGAAGTAGTTTTTGGAGTTATGTCCGTATGAAGGTTTTACGACCAATTGTGGACAGTCACGAGGTAATTGAATTGATGGGTGATGACTAGCAGTGGAATCCAGAACAAGGTGCATTTCGTCCACCAGCCGGATGTACCTGCATTCCCCAGTGAGTGATGAAGTTCCCACCAAGGCTCGAACCCAGTGACCATAGTTTCAAACGCCATAGCGTTATCCACTAGACCACTTGGGCCACGAGAGCCACCTCTTGTGCAACGGGTCACATTAATTATTTAATTGAATTTTAGATTTTCCTGTCGATTAATTGGAACGAAGTGCTTGGTCTCAGGTTAACACGTCGGCTTCTTGTGCAGATGCTTCGACAATGTCTGGGCATGTAATTAGAATCGTACTGAAGGATGGTGACTAGCAGTGGAATCCACGATAACGCGCATTTCGTCCTATTTGGGACTCGTCCACTAGCCGGATGTACCTGCATTCTGCAGTGAGTAATCATTTTCGCGGCAAAGTAAGTTTTTTGAAATTTGTCTAGTTTACTTGTTTTCTAATCCGTCTAAAGCCCGGGAAAAACAAGGTAGATTGGATATGGGGCTAGAAACCCTAGTCCAGAAAATCAATTTACAATCACTATAGAAACTTAAAAATATAATAAAAACAGCAACTTAGTATGAACTCACACATTACAATCATTATTATCATCAAATCCATTAGGTAGTGTAAGGGAATGAAACACTCTGAGAACATCACTTCGTCCAACAGGTAAGATAACTCGTGCTTCTGAATGAGCTATACCATCTTCAACACAGGATATACTAGTTTTTTGTTCACCAATATTAATAACACAAGCTGTAGGTAAACCAATCCCATAGGTAGTGCACACGCTGGCTTGATGTACAAAAACACGTCCAAATTTTAATCGATTCAATAGTAGATGTACTAGATAACGTATCTCATTTCTTTTGTATACATCATTGATTACAAGTATTGCTTTATAATTGCTAAGATTTGATCGTTGAATACCAATCTTTACAAATAAACAAAACAAACCAAAAAAGAAGAAAAAATAAACAAAGAAAATAATGGTGAACTTTTCCTGTTTTATAAACATGGATTACAGCCAATTGTATTCATGATAACTAAGCAGTGAAATCAGAAATTCTAGTGCTGATTTCCAGGGGTTTGATTTGATTGATTAGAAGATTTCATCATGAGCTTACATCAACTAGAGAACTGTTGGAAAACCAGCTGGGAGTACTGCCAGACAGCTGTTTCATCGCAGTTTGGGACTCTTCATCGGTACACACCCTTTCATACTTGTTTCAAGTTTGATCACGGATTGATATCTCAGTTATAGAATCACTGGAAGCCATGGTGCACTGAACGATTGTTCCGTCCTAAGGTGTGTCTCTTCATCAGTACGCATCCAGAACCTTCAGGTAAAAAGACTGGCTGGTTTACTGTTCAGTCAGTACGATGAAATCCAATGGCCCATCAATTCTGACTTCTGTCAACTATCGATTTTTAGCGCCACATCCAGCCAATGTCATCGATGAGAGTATCTGTCCTCACACCCGACCTGGTCAATTTCGCTGGTCATGATTTCTCACTAGAACTCCAGGCCACTTTGTACTTGATATGATTATGAGCAATAGTTTGTGCTCGAAACGTCATCAGGTAATATAACTGTACAACACTGTGTGATTTATGAAAATAAAATCTTATCCATAATGGAGTTATACTCTACCACAGTGCCCAAGTTTTATACTTATATCAATAAGGCAACTTTGTTCTTTAAGCTCAGTCACTAGTGAACATCAGACCAGTGGTGCCCACTCTGTGGGGACAAATATTCCCTGACGACATTGGCTGGTCGTGGCGATAAACATCATTAGTTGACGGAAGTTAGATTTGATGGACCATTGGATTGGGTTCCAGAATGGTCTGAGGGTTTGAACCCAGGAACTTTTAGTCCCATCCAGTCACTGGGACCAGATCCAATGGTATATGAATTTCAACTTCTGCCAAATCACAATATAGTGGGACCACTAGCCAATGTGTCATCGACGAGTAACTGTTATGACGCCCAACCTATTGCACTCCAGTGGTTTAATGGTCTACGAGATCACCTTGTAACCGGCAAGTCGAACCCTGGTGGGTGCGTACTGCTGGAAAGTCCCAAACTAGGGCGGAAGAGCTATACAGTACTCTCAGGTTCTCTAACTGATATCAGCTCATGATGAAATCCTGTAAAAATTCGGAAATACTTTATAATCATTATTAACTATAATGGAGAATATTTGTAGCTCATGTGGATGATTTTGATTGAGTTGCGTTCTGTGAACTGGTTGATTTAATTGCGAAACTTCCGTTGTTCTTCTAGACAACATCTTCAGCACAGGTTTTAGTACGAAATTAACTTATTTGAATTCTCCATGAATAATATATTTGAAGATATTAAATTCACAAGAGAAGAAGAATAAGACGACAAATTTCCAGTCTTAGGTGTCTTAATCAAGAAAACTAACATCAGAGATTTAGAAACACAAGGTATCCACGAAATCAAAGCACACAACCAAATACTCAACTATAATAGAAATAACTCAACATACTCGCAAAAGAAACTGTGTGAAGACATTGTTCAAAAGAGTCCAAACACTCTGAAGAAGATGGAAGAAAATTACCTGCTAACAACAACTGTCTTTAAAAGGAATGAATACACCCACAATTTCATCGAAAAGTGTCTCAAATGAAGTCGTAACACCAACAAAGTAAACATCATTAAAGATCACAAGAAAATTCACTCTACCATAAATAAAGAATATCTCTGAGGTAACGGCTAGAATACTAAAGCCGTTTGAAATAGATATAGCACACAATCAAACCAATACTATTACTTCATTCGATATGGTGCAAACCAAAAAAACCCAACAGAAGAAGATAAAATTATTACCATTCACAAAATAAACTGTATGAACTGTAACAGGCATTACATCGGCCAGTGTGGGCAACCCTTCGAATCAGAATCCAAGAACACAAATTAGCTGTAAAAAGACATGATATATATATATATATATATATATATATATATATTCCTTCATATCGACGCATGTGGACAGTTATGGACATCAGCTTGATTTGGATGCTGTAGAAATTTTAGATGGAGGAAACACCGAAAATGAAATCAGGAAATTTCTATAAGCCTAGTACTCAAATGAATCAGGGATTAACAAACATATTACTATAGACCAAATTTACCAACTAATAAAGTGTAAATCACATGACAAGAAAGTTCGAATTCCAAGTCAGTAAAAATGAGCAGTAGGGACGTAAATTAACAACCAATCACGAAGATGGTTGCCAGGAGATACAATTACATCATTAATGGAGAGTTCGAATAGGTTCATTTCATACTAAAACCTGAGCTGAACATGCTGTCTAGGTGAACAACGAAAGCTTTTACAATTAAATCAACCAGCTCAGGGAACACAACTAAATCAAAATTAATAACTAAGGGCCAACACAGAGAATATAAACTCTTAGTAACTACCTTAGAGGAATTTACAAAAACATTCAGTATACACAGAATCGAGAAGACAAAATTAAACAAGTAGTTAAACAATGCACAATAATAATAATGTTACTTTTTTTTATTCCTTTACGTCCGCAGTGGAACGTAGGGCTTCAAGCAAAAGGCAAGAAGTTTCCATAGCAGTGGTTTTTATTTTTACGGGATGGGGTTGTTAGCCTAATGCCCAACTTTCTCTTTTGATCAGTCTTATTACTGGCTTAGTGAGGTAAAGGAGTGCGTCAGTGGCCGGGGATCGAACCCGAACCACATTCGTGGTCGGCGAGCATTCTACCGCTGTGCCACAGACGTACAAATGACGTTATAGCACTCTACTACCTCTGATAATACTAATCTTAATTTTTCCCTACTATTCTCATACCTCCTGCTTGGTGTAAGGATGTTAAGTCAGACAACTTGAACCGCTACAGAGTAGTGCTGAATCCTGCGTCATATGCACAAAGTTTGAAGCAAGGGTTCAGCTATTTATTACTTACTTGATAAAGTGGTCAACAATAGTAGAATCGACGACGCGTTTTTCGTCCTACTCGGAACTCTTCATCAGCTGGATATCCCTTCATCCTCAGTGAGTTATGCTGTAACCACTAAGATCGAAACCCAATGCCTATCATTACAAACCCAAAAGCGAAATCCATTAAGCCAAGAGGAACCCTCTTCTCTTGAGCAATAGGTACCATAGTTATAATAAAGGTTTTTTGTATTTCCCAATGAATGAAAAGCAGAACGATATTTCTGTTTTTACTGACATTTCGCTACTTAATGCCAATAACTTTATCAAAGTATTACCAAACCACAATTTACAAAATCTCAGCTTATATATAACAACTTAATCATCGTCCCTCAGTATGGGGTCATTTTTCGTTGTCAAGTTGGCCAATTGGTAAAGATAACAAAACCGGTGTAGGTTATTGGATTTGATAAGTGTGCAAAATTATAAAAGCAGCGTGTGTTTACATAATGAAATTGCTTATCAGTCACATTCGTGTTGATTTTGTCACTTCATGGTGGAGGGAGGTGTTGCAACCAGGTCAAATTTTGTTTTCCATATTAGTTTGTTTATTAGATGTATCACACAGTGAAACAGTATTATTTACTGGATGATGTTCCGAACAAAATTTATTGATCATAATCATATCGAATTCTGTTTTAGTCCACCATTCCTATTCAGAAAATTTGGATTCAATTTGATGATATGAAGTGCTTCTGATATTAAACATTCTCTGTGATTTCTGAAATTTTTCTGGATTATTTCAATATTCTCAGAATCAATTTTTTGGCCTGATTCTATGGCGTTTAGACGACCTATGGCTGGTGATTTTTCAAGCTTTTCTAGTTCAACTGGATTTCTCGGTGGTTGGAGAGATGCGGCTCTACGGTGTTCATTTCTTCTGATTTTGATTTCTGTCTGGTGATGCTTGTACGATGTATATCGCATCACATTCCAAGCAACCATTTTGTTTTATCGACACAATTAGATAGAGAATCTTTATGGATTTGGTCTTTTACATGGACAAGGTTGTTTCGCAGTCTGTCAGATGTTTTGAAGAAAACTTTGATGTCAAGCTTATTGAGTACTCTTCTGATATCGCCTGACGTCTCTTCCCTACATGGAATGACGACTATTAATGTCCATGTTTTCGGAATGCCGTTTCAACCATACTTATTATGAATTTCCACACTGTTTGACTGTATTGTACTGAAATATGTTCAGTCTTTGTTAAGATGTCAGATCCCAATACGGATGTGTCGAAAGTGTGCCTTGAGATAAACACGGTGTTACTCACCAAGGATGCAGACATATCTAGATGACGAGTTTTAGACGGGCGAAGCGCACATCCTGAGTTCCACTTCTAACCACGATTATATAACATAAGGTCAATGAGTCTGTACTGTGACCCAAATAGAAGAACTGACTCAACACTGGTATAGAAGATGAGAATTTGTAGTTGTTTACGCTGACTGAGTGCAGAAGATCTCCAAATTGATTTCAGGCTAGTGAAGGTGTATCCTGCTTTTCTGATTCTGGTTTTGACATCTTCATCTGGTCCGCCTGTATAGTTGAAACAATGATTTGTAGATAAGTGAAAGAAGTAACCTTTTTCAAATTTCTCCCGTGATAGTAATTGGTGCTTGTTGTTGTTGTTGTGGTGGTGGTTAGTTGGTTGGTTATCTTTGTTACTTCTGTCTCCTCTCTGTGTTCATCATTTGAATTTCTGACCACACTGCCTATCTCCTCAGACAGTCTGTTGGTCTTCGCCTGCAAATCTTTAAGTTTGTATGACATTAGGCATAAATCATCCATATATATATAACATGAACTAAAAAAAGCATTATTTTTGTGAATACCAAAATTCATGACATAAAAGAAAAAGTCAATAAATGATTCAATACACCTACATACATGTTTTTCTATAGCTGTAGACCAAATATTTTCTAAATCCTGTAAGATAGCTGTATAATTCGCTGACGGTGAAAAGAATCCATAACGTATAGGCCAAGTAATATGATAACCATTTTTTAAACCATAAGTAAAAGCATCATTTAGTGCATAGAAATCTTGATCAGATGACGTTTGTTTCTCCCATTCAAAAAGATGTTTACCATCTTCCAGTTCATCTTTGAGATCTTGTTTATTAGATAGATGAATGCTAACAGACGATTGAGTGGTAGTTTCTTCTGAAGAGGATGATGATGGTGGCGGTGATGAATAATTCAAATTAAATAGCGTATTCACATAGGATTGTATTGTTTGAATCGATTCTTGAAATTTAGCTGATTGACAATTTAATTTATGTCGATTAATGATAGGTTCAATATGCGGTGAAATGTTGGGCTTCGGTTTACGTGCTATACAATGTGGAAAACGTTTTGGTGTAGAGTCAACAGCTCGACTAATACGTAAATGAAATGAACTCGGTTCAATGATGATAACACTATCCGCTAGAGTTGGTTGATTTCGCATTGTACAGAAGAGAGTGCTACAAAAAAAAAATTAAGAATAATAATAAAGATTACTTGCTTTGTATGGATGAATTAAATTAAACAGCTCATTAATAATAATAATAACTTTCTATAGTTTGGTTTGTAAGGGTTAGTTTTGTTTTTACGAGTTGATCACGCATTGATATCAGTTAGAAAATCATTGAAAACGAGCATGGAGTACTGGACAGCTGCTGTTTCATCCTAGTTTTGGGAATCACTGGCAGTAGGCACCCACTTGAGTGGTGCTAAATCACGAATTGGTAGAAGTTAGAATTCATGGGCTGGCCACTGAATCCGGTCCCAATGGCTGAATGATAAGCGGAAGGTCCTGTTTTGGAATCCCACTGTAGTGGGTGTGTACTGTCAATGATTCCCCAAAAAAACTAGAATGAAACAGCTGTCCAGTACTCCATGTTGGTTTTCAATGGTTCTCTAACTGATATCAATCCGTGATCAACTCGTAAAAATAATAATTACAATAATAATAACAATGGTATAACGACCACAAAACAATATGGAGTGGTCAATACCTAAATTTAAACAACTTCTGTCCCATTAGCCATAAGATAGGTTCGCTTAGAACACTATACCAGAAAGCAGAAAAGCTTTGCTCCGAAGAAACACTAGAAGGCGGGACATTGGATATCCCAAGCGATTCTTAGAGAAACATAACAAATGCGACATGAAGAAGACAGAGTATAGTACTGTCGAGAAGAAACCACTATTCCTTAAATTAGGATTCAAAGGTGATGAAGTTAGAGAAAGAATTATCAGACAAGCAAAAGATGCAATATCAACGAGGTGTCTAGCTGTCAAACTGGTCCTCCCGTACAAAACCACTTGTTCAAACACAATCCAAAGTAGACCATTTTCCAGCTTTCGTTAACTCAAACTGTGTTGATGAATTCACATGTACATGAGCTAGCAAGTACATTGGAAGAACTGAGAAACGGTTGTCCACAAGGATCCAAAGCCTCAGGATGGTCGGGGGTGGGTGCCTTGCGCTGCGGGTTGGCCACCCCTCCGCACACCTCTTGAAATGCTCCCATATGACCGGGCGTCTTACATAGCCTCTCCTGAGGAAGTCCTACTCACTGCCTTCACGTGGCGGAGGTGTTTCTCACCAAAGTAAGAGGGCGAAAGCGGATGCCCGGCGCTCTCCACCGGGTTGACTGTCCATTGGATGACGGTCTAGGGGAGATGGCTAAACCCTGATTCCAAACCTCCAACGACTGGCGTATGAAGCTCACTGGAGCTCACCGGCAGACGTATGGACAAAGGGCTTGTTGGATGTCCTGGATGTCTGGCCCCATTCAAAAAGGCGTATGAACCGAACTCCGGTCACCGGCTGCCAATGGATAGTGGACTCCTTACTCCACTCCTACTGCCTTGTAGGTCACACTTGGCTGTGTAAAGGCTAGAGCTGCACTCTCAAACAAAAGGCCGAGCGATGCTGGGGACATCACTCGTACCAAATTCCCATGAAACTTCATGAACTCTCTTACAAATTGCCGCGCCTGGGCAGCGATGATTCGAGACGTTCATGAAGCCGGCTCATCCTCCCGTAGGAGATAGCCGAAGTAAAGTAAGTAAGTATTAATGAACATATGCCCGAAAGTCTACGTCTTAGAGGTTCGCCAGGATTTAATAACACCGTATCTCGGCGCCTGGCTGATACAGGACACCAAATCAACGTAGTAGAACTGAACAGATAAAGTATCTCAAGACTACTTCGAATTGCTGAAGCTCTGACCATTTGGAGAATGAAGTTTGAATTATGTGTGCAAAAAGAGACTATTACTAACTTATTGCTACCTTAGTAACCACTGTCTCTTTCACATTTTAACTTGTTGAAACTTTTTTTGTGCGTGACATTTGTTTCCTTGCAAATTCTTGATATCTTTTTGTCCTTGACCTCTTTTGCCTCGGTTGAATAACTTTGCATGTGACTATGTAAGTGTCTGCGGTTATGCGTGAATTACCCTAAAAATTGCAGAATATTTTTTCTGTGTAAAATACACATAATGTTTCTGTTTTAGTTATAATTCACTATTCTAACTTCTCGGATATTTTGTACGTTATTTACATTATTCTACTCTCTTATAAAATGAACTGACTATTCAGTTGTAGTACGCTTAAATTTTGGTGAGAACTGGCCGTTAGTCAGAATTATATTATTATTATTATTATTATTATTGTATCCTTTAGTTCCTAGAGGAACATAGGGCTTCAGCTGCGCACCTCCATTGACTTCGGTTTTCTGACAACTTTTTCACCCTGCTCCAGGTCTGCCCACATGCTTTCATCTCCTCTTCACATGACCTCCTCCAAGTCACCCTTGGACGACCAACTCGCCGCCTCCCTTTCGGGTTCCACTCGAGGGCTTGTCTAGTGATGTCACTTGATGGTTTCCTCAGCGTATGGCCAATCCATCTCCATTTCTTTCTGCCTATTTGTTTCACAATCGGTTCCTGATTGGTTCGCTCCCAGAGATCCCTGTTGCTGATCTTTTCTGGCCATCTGATCTTGAGTATTGAGCGGAGACAGTTGTTAATGAAGGTTTGAAGTTTGTTTGAGATGCTCTTTATGACTCGCCAAGTCTCTGATCCGTATAGTAGCACTGACTTCACATTGGAGTTGAAAATCCGGATCTTATTTTTGATGCTGATTGCTGTTGACCTCCACACAGATTTGAGAGTAATGAAAGCTTGTCTTGCTTTTCCGATTCTGGCTTTGATGTCCTCGTCAGTTCCGCCTGTAGTTGAGACGATGCTTCCCAGGTAGGTGAAGGAGGTTGTTTCTTTCAGGTTCTTCCCATTTATGCTTATTGTGGTCTGTTGTTGCTGTTGATGTTGGCAAGGAATCTTCATCATCTCTGTTTTATCTATGTTCACGTGAAGTCCTATCTTTGATGCTTCTTCTGCCAACTTGTTACTTTTCATTTGCATATCTTCCAGTTTATGGGAAATCAGACATATATCATCGGCGAAATCCAGATCCTCCAAGTCTTTTGTGTCAGTCCATTTTATGCCTGTTCCCTCGTTGGTTGCCGTTGTCTGTCGCATTATCCAATCAATTGCAATCAGGAAGATCATTGGTGATAGTAGACAGCCTTGCCTCACTCCCGTCCTCACTTCGAAGGCTTCCGTAAGTTTCCCGTTGTGGATTACTTGGCATGCAGCATTGTCGTATAACTGTTGGATGAGGTGTATAATTGTCGATGGGACCCCGTAGTAGCGAAGTAGTTTCCAAATGACCTCTCGATCGACGCTGTCGAAGGCCTTTTCAAAGTCGATGAAGTTGAGATAGAGAGGTGACTGCCATTCCAAGCTTTGTTCAATGATGATCCGTAGAGTGGCGATTTGATCAATACATGATTTGTTTCTCCTGAATCCAGCCTGTTCCGGACGAAGTTTTTCATCTAGGGCTTGTTTGATTCTCTCCAGGATGATGCGACTTAGTATCTTGCTTGGAATGGACAGAAGCATAATTCCACGCCAGTTTTTACATTGACTTAAGTCTCCTTTCTTTGGAAGTTTGAATAAGTAACTGTTCTTCCAATCCTCGGGTACTTTGCCCTCTTTCCACACCTTCTCCAGTAGTGGTGTCATCAAGTCCGCTGTTGTCTCTGGGTCTATTTTCAAAGCCTCTGCTGGGATTCCATCTGGTCCCGGTGTTTTCCCAGTTTTAAGCATCTTGATTGCATTCAGGACTTCTGATTTCGTCGGGGGGTCAGTGTTCACTGGTAGTTCTGCTTCCGTTGTTGGTATTGCTGGACGTGTTGTAGGTGGCGGACGATTTAGAAGTCTTTTGAAGTGTTCAACCCAGTGCTTTCTCTGTTCCACCTCTTTGGTGATTGACTTTCCATTGTCGTCCTTTATTGGCTTAATCTGTGTCGAACGTTTGCCCGAAAGGTTCCTAGTTGTTTGGTAGAGTGTGGCGAGGTCTCCTTTGCCTGCAGCTTGTTCTGCTTCGTTTGCCATGGTTTCATAATATTTTCTTTTGTCTTCCCTGGCACTTTTCTTCACTCTTTTGTTCAGTGTATTGTAGCTTGCATTCAGCTCCTGTTTTTGTTGCTCGTCGTGCACTGGATAATCTTTTGCTTCACTGTCCTTCTCTCTTCTATTAGTTTCCAAGTGTCCGTAGTGAGCCACTGTTTGTCCTGTCTCTTTTTTCTGCCTAGAATTTCTATGCAGGTTTGGCTCCACACCGTTTTCAAGTTGTTCCAGTGCTTTTCAACGCCGACCTCTTCGCTAGTGTTGATTTGTGTCTCGGCTTTGTCCTTTATGCTTGCAATGAAGATGTCCTTTGTAGCCTGGTCCTTCAGCTTTTGAGTGTTGAACTTGGCTTGTGGTCTATCTGCAGCTCCTGATTCCCTGAAAGCTTTTAATTTGATTTGGATTGTCCCTTGTACGAGATAGTGGTCTGAGCCAACGTCTGCTCCTCTTCTTGCTTTTGTGTCCAGTAGGCTGCGCCTCCACTTCCTTGAGATTGAGATGAAGTCGATTTGGTTTTTGGTTTGCCCGTCTGGTGACACCCATGTAGCCTTGTGGATATCTTTGTGCTTGTATACACTGCCACCAATCACCAGTTCGTTGAAGGCGCAGAAGTCGGCGAAGAGTTCTCCGTTTTCATTCATTTCTCCTAGAGCTTCTCTACCCATGATGAGTTCCCTTCCCGTATTGTCTGGTCCCAGTTTGGCGTTCATGTCTCCCATTAGTATTTTCATGTCGCCAGCTGGAGTATTGTCCATTGTTGCCTGTAGTTGCCTGTAGAATTCTTCTTTCTTCTCGAGGTCTGCGTTGTTTGTGGGTGCATAACATTGTATGATTGACACTTTCCTTCCTTTGGAGTTGAACCTGGCGGTCATTATCCTGGACGAAATCGCCTCCCATTGTATCAGGGCTTTCGTTGCCGTTGGTGACATCATGATAGCCACGCCCTCGGTGTGCGTGTGGTTATCTTCTGGGTGACCGGAGTAGATCACTGACTCACC